CAAATAGATGCTCTAGTTTGTCATAGCGGCATCGCCAATATATGGGTTTTTAAGCCCAAAGCGTTGCCAACCATTTTCAAGATGCGTCGCCGGGTAATTTTTAATGAAAAGCCATTTACGCTGAGTAATGAAAAACTATTTACAAGCCACGAACTTATTTACAAGGTTGCATGCACATGTTACCCCAAATAACTAATTTTACCATAAAAACAGTCTGATTGTACAGCAACTTAGCAAGTGTCAACTGAACATAGTGGCAAACCAGAGCTTGTTTAGAATCAGTTCATTTTTAATTTCTTCATTTACTCAAGATATAAACCAATTTCTTAAGTATGATAATGCTGGTATCCATGATACTTTACTGGTCTACTTATAGGACTCAAAAATGAACTTGAGGGAGAGTCTAAAAAACTCTCTGCTTTGCCACTATGCAACTGAATATGTGATGATGCAGTCTGACTGCTCTATTGTGATCGCAACTACATTTTCTTTGAATTTTTTTGGCAGGAACTCATCGCAAATGATTTCCGGACAAGCTTTACTGCATCCTGATCCATCCAACATACCAGAAACCTTACTTTTTTTCTAAATAGTGTGCCAAAGACTGACAAATATATTAAATGCAAGAATTTCAATCTAAATGTGTCGGCAAGATCTTCTGAAGGTGTAAATTTTGCTACTGAAGCGTCGCCTAAGATCTTGCAATATTCATCCACTCTCTGCACAGCGGTATACAAGCTTGCCAGATGTGGTGTACAGGGAGTAATGTTAAGATGGCTCAAAGCATACCTAGAAGACAGATGCTTTCAAGTTTTCTTTGAGGGGGAACTTTCCTCAATGAGAAGGATAGGCTCAGGAGTACCCCAAGGAGCCATCCTTTCCCCCACACTTTTCAACATACTAATGCATGACATACCCTCCATCCCTGGAGTAAAATGTATTGAGTATGAGGATGATGTGACACTTTTTGGTACAGATAAGGATATTGGATCTGCAACTGCAAGATTGCAGAACCAGCTAAATGAATTTGGTAACTGGGCCTGCCAGTGGGGCCTATCACTTAACATCAGCAAAACAAAGTGCATGTATTTCACCCATAAGAAAGTAGACCCTCCCTCCCTCTGGTGTAAAGGCCAACCAATTGAAGTTGTTTACCAGTTCCGTTATCTTGGAGTGACTTTAGATGCTCCGAGACTGCGCTGGGGAGCACACATATAGGCTCTTAGAATTTCATGCATTCCTATTGTAAACTTGCTCAAATGTATAGCTCACAGACAGTGGGGAGAAAATCATATGCTGCTCTTAAAACTATATAAAATATAACTCATCAGTCATCTAGATTATGTGGCACTCTTTTATGCTTGTGCTGCTCAAACACAGCTCTCAAAACTGAACATCATTCAAAACAACTGCCTTAGGACTGCCCTGGGGTGCAAAAAACTACTCCAATTTGATCTCTTCAAGTTGAAGCTAACATCCCTCCCCTCTCAATTCATCATAAAGAGCTTCTGTGTAAATACTACTACAGACTCACAACGCTTCCAATGTGTTCCATAATTCATGATCTCTTCTGTGCTGAGCAACAGGACACACACCCTCCTATATCTGTCTCACTTTTACCATCCTTTACCACTCATGCAAGAAAAATTTTCTCTGAACACAATTTACCTCTCCCCAGACCATTGCGACTCCCCTTTCTTTCTCCCCTTCCACCCTGGTTCAACATCCAGCAGCACATCCTAACAACCTTCTCATCAACTCATGTATCGGGCCTCACATCCAACTCAGCTTCACAAACCTTCCAAGACCTCATGCAGACAAACTTTGCCAACTTTACAGCAGCATACACAGATGGCTCACGAGTAACTGAGCCTGTGGTCTTGTCATCAGCAGCCATGGTGGTGCCTTCTAAAGGTGTTACACTCCATTGGAAACTGCGACCTGAGGTTTCAGTCCTAGAACCTGAGCTCTTTGCTCTCAATGAGGCACTTGAGTGGGCCCAGAACAACCTCAGTCACTGTGAAAAGTTTGCCATCTTCACAGATTCTCTTAGTTCATTGTATTTAAACAAAGATAGGAAGCCTCAATCTTATGTGCACCTTGTTTTCCAGACCCAAGACAAGTTGCTGGTGCTGGTGACTCAACGTGAAATCAAACTCCAGTTTGTTCCAGGGCACCGGGGCATTGCTGGGAATGAGGCAGCCGATCACGCAGCCTCAACAGCTCATGCCCTACAGTATTGTACCATTACTCCAATGACGAATGAAGAGATGGTAAGGAAATTCCATTCTGTTTTTGTTGAGGACTGGCAGCAGAAGTGGCTTGGTGACACTCATGACTCTGGAACAGGCTTATTCCTCCTCCAAATCAAAGACAAAAGAGAAAACTGGCCATGGGCATCAAACAAGAGCAGACTAGTTGAGACAGCACTTGCCAGACTTTGGCTCGGACATGCTGGCGTGAGAGCACACATGGCCCGGTTTGGGATGCTAGACAATCCAATGTGTAACTGTGGCCTGCATGCTGAAACTATTGATCACCTATTGCTTCATTGCCATCTGCATTCACTGCACAGAACTAATCTAACTAACACACTAACCATACTGAATGTGAATTTAACAATAAAAAACTTGCTTGGAGGAGGACCGTTCCCAATGGAGGTGCAGACTAAAATAATCAAAGCCACTTCTGATTACCTGACAGCAATTAATGCTCTGAAGCAAATGTAATTCTAGTTTAGGAACTTCTAGTGTAAGGTATTCTCAATTGTTGCCAATAGTAAATAGAATTTTGATAACTAGCTAAAACCTAAAAAGCATCTCCTTGTAGACTTACTGTGAATAACAATCTGTGGCACTAACCTTATCTCAAATCTTCAATAAACGCACCCACTGGTGCTTCCAGCAGCTCAAGTAGGGGCGCTCTGTGCAGATCAATTGACTAATGTAATGACTGCATTTGTGAAGGGTGCCTTTATTTGTCTGTCATGTATCCTCATCATCCTTTGCTTCTTCAGAACCCTGCCCATAAGAGATCCATCTTGTTTGTAAACTTAAATTAGATATTACTTGTACAAGGCCTTTTGGCCTCAAGAGGCTCCAGGTTGAGCTGCCCAGGCTGGACCCTTATCTAGCTGACTGGTTCTTGTATGTGGCACAAGGTAGGGCATCCCCTAGATACTAACTGGGTTACACTAGCATCTACATTTGAATGTTTTCTGTACCACTTTCAGTATAATAGAGTAGCACCTGTTTTATAATCATTATTATGTGATTTTGAAATATATTGACCCATGTAATGCCCCCAGCAAAATATTCCCTGATTGATGATACTGGAACATACACCCTCGTTTTGAAATTGTTGATTAGCTACTGTTGCAATGCTTGCATTGCTCTGTGCTGACAATCCTCTTCATGTGTCCACAGTTGCTGTGGCTACGTCTGCAACATACTCCTGTACAGTTGTGGAGCTACATGGACAAGTCTTTGAAGCTCCAATAATCACCAATCACCACCACCATCCCAGCGTGAAGTGTCCAAAACCCCCAGTTGTGCTCAGGCTGGGAGGTGTGCTACCGGCATACCCGAAGCCTACAAATCAATTATAAAAAAATAGATCCCAGCGTGGACACCCAGAAAAGAAGAAGTGAGCATAGAATACCTCCCTTAGGTGCTAACAGTGCGTGCACTGCATGGAGGTGTGAAGACATCGCAAAACGGGAGCAGCACCTTATCATCGGGGCGTTATCTGCATTCCTCGCAAGCACCAGAAGATTGGAAACCCTGTGAAGTCACAACTCGCAATAATCAAAGCAAACAAAGTGGCTCCCAACTGATAATGCAACTACAAGCCCGAAATAAATTATCATGTCCAGGTGTGACAACCGACCTGTGTGAGGTCATTTACTACACCTCAAAGAAGACAACATCATCATTAGAATATCTCCCAAAGTAATGAACTGATCAGTGATCAGTCAACAAAATGGGATTAGAAGCTGCTGACAATAGCAGATTGATTCTGTGTTATGACCGGTGCATTGTGGTAAATAAAAATTTCTAATCAATCGCTTCTAACTTGGTTGTTGCCGACTGGCTGTAATTAATGAATCATTTGTGTTTCTCATAACAAAATTATTGCCATATTTTTCTGATGAATAAAATTTCTAAAATTTAGCTAATATATTAATATACCTCTAACCCCTGTACTGGTACCTATATACATTTTTAGGTAGGCTAGGTAGGCTGTGTAGACAGCCTTAATATTAGAAAGAACTTGAATATTAGATATTAGAAATTTATAAGATAGGTATTAATGTTAGAAAGAACTTGAATATTTGAATAATTCCTGCTGTGGCTTATGGCTACAAACTACAAGTTACTTTTCTCTGTGCCTGACTGTAATTTCCAAATACATAACTACCGTCAAATGGGGTAATAAGGTATGGTTTAGAGCATTTTTGTTAATAACTTCTTACCATGGAACATTTCATAAACAAGTTTGGGGCTTATTTTAAAGGCCTTTGCAACTTGCAAGGGTTATTGTATGCCATATGGCACCTCCAAAAAAATTCTGTATGCCATTTGTAAGGTGCCAGATGGCAGACGCAAAGTAAAAGCGTCCAGAAGACCAGAATTACTCATGGAAACAGGGTAATCCACATCCAGGACATATGAAATAAAACTTAATTTTTAAATTTTTGAAGCATGTGGAGTGTAACTGTACTCATCCATAGGTATTACTAAATACTTACAGTACTCTGCAGTCCTCCTCTTCCATTGTTCCAGGATTGGAATTTTCCTACTTGTTTCTGAAAAAAACTAAACAAGCCAAACTAAGCACTAAACTAGCCACTAGAATCCCATTGTCCTTAGATGGCTGTGTCCTGAAGCTGGAGTTTGTTAACACTTTAACTGTGACTCCCAAAATAGCCTGTATTCCAGTAATGTGACATTGTGACTCATTCAATCTTGAATAACTTTAGTTACAGACAAGACAGCGAGATGGCAGCTAGCACTCTGCTCATGTCTGAGCAAGTTCGACAAGCTTCTGACATAAAAACCGTGATCCCCTATTGGTGCACGTCGCTCTTATGGAAATTTTCATCTTTCTAAGCAACATGCTCCATATATATATATATATACGGAAGTTATTCTCCCGGGTATCTCTACGGAAACGTTAAAAACCACAAGCAAGGCAATCCGCTCAGACCCATCATTTCTCAAGTCACGTCTCCAATCTACAAAACAGCCAAAGAACTGGATACCATAATAAAACCGTATATTCCGAAGCAATTCTCCTTGAAATCTAGCGACGACTTTTTGGACATCCTCCGTGCTGCACGCCCATCAGGCCTTCTCACGTCACTTGATGTCACCAGCCTCTTCACCAACGTCCCTACTGAAGAAACATTAGAAATCATTGCCAAGCATGTATATGCTCATCCAACTTTGCCGGCTCCACCAATACCTAAGAAAATTCTCATCGACCTTCGACTCTGCACTTCCGAATCACCTTTCCGGGCTCCTGACAACAAAATTTACCGACAAATCAACGGCGTAGCCATGGGCTGCCCCCTTGGTCCTACATTTGCTGAGTACTATATGTGCAAAATCAAAAATCAAGTGCTTTCAGATGAACAGATCAAGCCTGAATTGTACTGCAGGTATGTCGATGATATCTTCGTTGTGGTTCGAGATGAAGAACAGCTGAGGAATCTGCGACTGGCCTTTGAGATGAATTCTGTCTTGAAGTTTACATACGAGCTCGGCTGAAATCGTACTTTGCTCTTTTTAGATATAGTCGTCCAAGCTAAGAATAATTCATTCGTAACAGAAGTATACCGGAAACCCACAGATGACGGGAGAGTCCTTAACGCTGCCAGCGAATGCCCAGAACGCTACAAAAGAAGCGCAATAAGTGCTCTCATCCAACAAGCACTCAAAACCTGCTCCTCTGAAAATGATTTGAATATGGAGCTGAAAAATTGCAAAAGAACCTTAGTCAATAATGGATTTGCAAATAGAACAATTGACAAGGAAATTTCAAAACTTCGATCGAACCAAAACAGACACAACCATGAACCAGAGACTGACGCAAACGTCACAACCATCTACTATGAGAACCAAATGACCAGCGGTTATAAAGCAGATGAACGGATCCTTCATTCTATTGTTCACAACAACATCATGAACGTAACTAATAATAAAATTAAACTACTGATTTATTACAAAAACAAGAAAATACAGAATCTTGTAATGAACAATAACCCCTGCAAAAAAACGGGAGTTTTCCAAGAGACCAATGTAGTCTATAAATTTTCTTGCAATAGAGAAGGTTGTAGACTTCTCCCCAATATGGACTACATCGGGCTCACAACTACGACATTAAGCCGACGTCTCACGTGCCACCTTCAGTCTGGTGGACCAAAGAACCACCTGATGGAAGCCCACAACGAGACCATCACTCGTACGGTGCTGGAAGAATGCACCAGCGTCGTCATGAGATGCCCCGACGCCAACCGACTCATGATAGCTGAGGCCCTCATCATTAAGGATAGGACCCCAGCCATCAACCTTCAAACTACTGGATTTGTCAGAACCTTGAGACTGTTTTCGGAGTAATTTTCGGTGCTTTGATTCTAAATTATTTTGTGATTTTGTAATTATTCCTAACAATTTTGATTTTTGAGTAGTATCCTATTTACTTGACTTTGTACTTATGTCGACGCTAATTTCATCACTCAATGCGCCTTTTAACTTGATAATGAATGATAGAAACATTCGAAACGTCGTTAACGAAATAAAAATGTCCATCGGTAACCTGATTTTCGATTTGCCAGTTCAAACTAAAAATATTGTTCAATATATTGAAAAAAACTAATAAGAAAATTGCGAATAAAACAAATTCTCTGGTCTTCAATGAAACCTGCTTGAAATATATATATACGTATATATATACCGTCAACCGGGGCTACTTGGGACGGGCAGGGTAACTCGGGACAGTCCTCCGACACGGCGTAAAACTGTTTTTGTAGCAAAACTAATTGGAATATTGCAAAACTAAATATAGTGGCATAAGCATAACATCAACATATTTCCTATCTATGTAGTATAAAGGAAGTTAAAAAACACTACATATACTAGCTTTGAAAAATTCCTGAAAAAAATGGTGAAAAATGATATTTTGAAAAGTTACGTCTGCGAAGGTCTGTAGTAAAAAAATATTTGCCGTATTGAAAAATTTTGCTTAGAAAAAAAAAGTGGCAGACTAGTGTCAACATGAAAACTTTATGTGCAGAATTTACATACCTCAATCCAAAAAAAATGGCGGCCATTTCTGCACGGCGGGGCTACTTGGGACACCCCCAAAAACGCATTTACAGTAGAACCTCAGTTAGCAAAGGCTCCAGCTAAGAAATAAATTGATTGAAAACAAAGAATATTGATTACATTTACCTCGCTCAGCAAAAAAAAATTTCACTTTTCAAAAAATTAGTGCATCATCGGTCATCACAAAATTGTGCATAGAATGTCATGTATAGAATTGTGTGACAGGCATCATAGAATGAAAAGTAATTGACCTAAACTATGATTTATTTCTGCAAATTATATGATGGTTGTCACTAAAACATTCCTTTCTGTTTCAGGTATGTTTTTCATGATCTTTTTTTATAGTAAATTCACTTAACCCAATTAAAATGGTGTGAAATTACAAGCCATCCTGTAAGCTTACAGATACAGATACAGGGCACACAAGCATGGGTCTTTGGGGTCCCCTTAAAGCACCAATTGAGGAAAACTCTGTGGCACCTCTTTCAAAGCTCTCATTAAATTTTGCTCATAAATTAAAATGAATATTGTTTTGTTTTGTGCTTTATCTGACTCAGAGTGGCGACTTGAATTTCTATGACAACTCTTGCTCTGTGTCATTAGCACTATTGAGTCTAGGTCTGAGACTGAATTCCTAGTATCAAATTATAACCTGTGATAATGCTTTTCCTTACAGATGAGTTTATTTGACATGTATCTATTTTAATAATGTCAATCAGGAGATTGTTTACTCGGCATAGCCGAAAATTTTTTATTGGAGGAGCCATTTTATTCTTTTTCTTAGTTTGGTGGGTGCCAAGAAGTCTCGTTGATCAAGTCAATCTTGGAGTAAGTTTTGCAACATTTTTATTGTTTATAACTTTCAATGAAATCTGTGGCCTCTATTTAAGATTTAAAATTTAAGGCATGGATATATTACCTTGGTCAAATCATCACATTGGGCATGGCAAATTAAATTATTTTCATGATCACAGGAAATGATGAACTGTGAAATAAGATGTCTTTTTTTTTGGTATTAGTACTAATTGATGTTTACAGCATCGTGGCATACTTCTTGGTCATGTGCTGAAGCATGACTACCATGACCGTGAGTATGAAACACGGGAGCTGCTGCAAACTGGGCTCGGGGAGCTTGGTGCTGCTGCATTTTTGCCCTCAAGAGTTACAGAGCAGGAGAAAGATGAACTCTACAAAGTCAATGGCTTCAATGCCCGACTTTCTGATGAAATTGCCCTCAACAGATCACTAAAGGATATTAGACATCCCAAGTATGTTGACTAATTCAACTTGATTATCAAGCTACTTGCAAGTGTTCTATTATTTTTTTTATAAATCAGAAATTTAATGATCAACTATTTCAATTGTTATTAATATGACAACATACTCATGGTTGTTATTAATTAGTTTTTTCATGACAAAAGTACACATGTCTAAATTGTTCTTCATAATGGCCATTACCTTGGTTCATGTTATTGATTTGAATGTTTAAGTTTTATGTTCTCTGTAAATGATTCCAACTTTGACATTTGCAGGTGTTTAACACGGCTGTATCTGGCTGATCTGCCTACAGCTGCTGTGGTGGTTCCCTTCCATAACGAACACTGGTCAACTCTGCTGCGCACAGCTTTCTCTGCATACAACAGGGCTCCCAAGCACCTGCTCAAGGAGATTATTCTTGTTGATGATGCTAGCACTAAAAGTAATTCCCTCAAGTATTGGGCAAACTTAGTGGGAGACATAAAAATAAGCACATCGTAAAAATGGAAATTGTTACTCAAACTCTGTTCTAATGTTAACCCATTCCTCAACCTGGAGAATTAATTTAGTTAATTAATCATAAGTTTGATCAGTCAATTGCTGGAGATTCCTCACATGCCAATATTTTCTTTCAGAATAGGCAAAGCCTTATCTGATTTATGTATCTACCTATCCTTTCCAAAATACTTTGATATATTTTTCTGACTTGTCCAGGTCATCAATAAGAACCTATTTCATTTTATCACTATCATTCTACTATTAATACAACAAATTGCTTTCATTTTAAGATCACTTCGGGAGAAAAATTTTGAAGATTATCCATCCCAATGTTTTTATATGTTATATATGCATTGGGTTTTAATTTAAAGCATAAGAACCATTAATTGTTACAATGCGCAGGCTTTCTAAAGGAGAAGCTAGACACGTTCTTGGCAGAGCACCTTCCTGTGGCGCGGGTGGTGCGTCTCTCTGACCGGCAAGGCCTGATCAGAGCGCGACTGGAGGGCGCCAAACACGCCACTGCGGACACCCTCGTCTTCCTTGACTCTCACACGGAGTGCACCACCAACTGGCTGCCGCCACTACTTGGTAAGCTGGTTAAATGTCATTCTAATGATTTATTATCAAATAATAATTTGGGCTCGAAGAAACTTTTTGTAAATTTACAGTGCTCTTTTCGTTTCCAAGGTGTCTTACATGCAGAAACTGCATTGCAACATCTAGATCAGTGGTTCCCAAAGTGGGCGATATCGCCCCCTAGGGGCGGTGGAAAGATTTTGGGGGGCGGTACGGAAGAAGAGGGCGTTTGGGGGGCGATAAGGGGGGCGGCAGTCCGAAGTCTAAGTCAGAAGTTCCAACGTTTGTTTGACAATTTGTACACAACACGTGCAGCACATCATGACTCCCAACGATGGTTTTTTTCACCCAGATCTGTTTTTTAACCTCTCCTGGGTTTACGTCTCGGACAAATTAACGGTCGGACTCGCGGCCGGTCTCACGGCCAATTTCCAAATTCAATGATCAAGGAATATCTCTCAAACTAATGAACTTAACTCGCAGAAACTTTGTACACATATTCATTAGGACCTAACGGTAATGTTTAGTTCGTTAATTTTTTTTTTTTAATTTTGCCTTCATTTGTTTTTGCCACAGTTATATGGCAATACGGGCCGAAATTCACAGTGAACAAGGAATTTCTTCCGAATATTGAACAGATTCGAGCGAAATTTTGAATTTTCAGTCCTAACTACCGAACGGTAATGTTAGCTCGCGATAATTTATTCGATTGTGCCTTTGTTCGCGAGTTTTTTTTTTTCATTTTACCGTCATTCTTGATTTCACACTTCCTTGTATTCGGCCTGTATCGCCGGATAATTTGTCGCTTAAATTCGCGGCGATCAAGAAATTTCTTCTAAACTACTCAATAGATTTCAACGAAACTTTGAATATAAATACCTAACCTCCAAACGGTGATGTTTAGCTCGTGACAATTTTTCTATTTTGCTTTCGTTTGCGAGTTAAACAGATATGGGAGGAACAACCGGCTTTTATACCGGCCGGTTTAACTAAGGGCCGTTTACGAATATCCGTATACTTATAGCCGTATAACTCGCAAACGAAGGCAAAACGAAAAATTTGTAGCGAGCTAAACATCACCGTTGCTGAGGTTAGGTATTTAAATAATAAGTTTCGTTCAAATCTATTCAGTAGTTTTGGAGGAAATTTCTTGATTACTGCGAATTTGAGCACGTATTGCTGTTTAAATCACGAATGGAGGTGAAATGAAAAAAAAAAAAAAAACTCGCGAACAAAGGTAAAATCGAGAATTTTTTGAAGCTAAAAAATCACCGTTTGGTAGTTAGGAATGTATATTTAAAATTTCATTCAATTTCAAATTTTCGTTCAAATTATTTGATCACTGCGAATTTTGGCCTTTATCGCAATATAACTCACGAATGAAGGTAAAATTTAAAATTTTTACGAGCTAAAAATCACCGTTAGGTTCTGATGAATACATGTTCCAAGTTTCATTGCACTGCGTTCATTAGTTTGGGAGATATTACCTAATAATTGAATTTTGAGATTGGTCGTGCGACCGGCCACGAGTCCGGCCGTAAATTTGCCCGAGACGTCCTAGGTTTCTAGTGCTGAAACAGTTAAAACAGCTTAAAAACATATTGGTTCACTAAATGGGGTTCTATTTTAAATACACATTTGTGTTTAACCTTTATATTTTGAATTTGCAGCGTACTAAATTTCAAGAAAGAGGCGTATGTTTTTATATGTGTATATGTGTCTGTGGGGGGCGATAGAAATTCACTAGGGAGCCAAAGGGGGCGCCAGCCTGAAAAATTTTGGGAACCACTGATCTAGATTATTCGGATACCGTTATGCCGCTCTGAATAAATTGTTTTTATCAGAGCCAATCCAGAAAGACTACCGCACTGCCGTGTGCCCCTTCATTGACGTGATCGACTTCGAGACGTTTGAGTACAGAGCTCAGGACGAGGGGCGAAGAGGCGGCTTTGACTGGGAGTTCTTCTACAAACGCCTGCCTTTACTGCCGGAGGACGAGGCCCTAATGCCCGAGCCTTTCAAGTGAGTTGTGCATCCGCACATGAGAGAATTGATAATATTGGTACTATATATAAACATGTTGTTTATTCTGAGCAGTTTTCTTTACTCTACAAACGCTCGCGTTAGCTGCCAATCTGCCATTAAATAGAACCGCTTTATGCCCGAGTCTTCCATTTCTGTTGTAAACCAGTAAGAGATCTTGTATTCGGCTGATGATTTTTTTTTTTGTATTTCTAAATAGCTGTTTTCTAATAGTTAAGTTCCTTATATGGCCTTCCAAACGTTTGCCACGCGATTGACTGTCATGCAGTGAAATGATTCCTAATGCCTCAGCTGTCTGCTTCTTGTTGTAGGTATCTTCAGGTTTATTTATCATAAAATTTTGTTATGAGCCATGCATGCTGCCATACGTGAAATTTTTTCTAATTTGTATCATAAAGCGACTACTTCTCATTGAACTTTATCACCGCACAACATCCCCGCCTAAAACTTACCAAGATTTATCTGGCAGGAGCCCTGTTATGGCTGGGGGACTTTTTGCAATCAGTACAAAATTTTTCTGGGAGCTTGGAGGCTACGACCCTGGCCTGGACATCTGGGGAGGCGAGCAGTACGAGCTTTCGTTCAAGGTGTGGCAGTGTCACGGCCAGATGCTCGACGCTCCGTGCTCCAGGATCGGCCACATCTACCGCAAGTTTGCGCCCTTCCCTAATCCCAGAAAAGATAACTTCGTGGCTAGGGTCAGTCTAAGTGTTTGGGGTGAGAAGGGTATAAAATAACGCTCAACTCATGTTACGTCACAGGTGTTATACATGTACGAGTTTTTGTTCTGGACGTTTCAAAAGAAAGGTAAAGATCTCATCAGCCTCTTTCGCCCAATGTCAGGTAGACAGATGAACATATTTTCTAATTTGCAAAAGCAAGTTGCTTATAGTTTTAACAGTGTTTTGAAAATATTTCTTTACTAGGTTATCATCAAGACCGGTCAGGAAATATGTTAAAATAATTCCTTCGCCCGTGCACAGAACTACCGCCGTGTTGCTGAAGTTTGGATGGATGACTATAAGAAATATCTCTACGCCAGACAGCCTGGCTGGCTCCAGGTTTGTTACAAGCTATTTACAACAACTAATACTCAATATTATGTTATGTACCTCACGAATACGTATGTTAATTTAACGTTACACGCAATGTTATTTACTTATTCATTTCTATCACATATGCTGATGAAATATTTTTCTTTAAATTAAACTTATTTTGCTCTATCATAAATTCTACCTACAGTGAATTGTTCATGTAAAAGTGTTAGGTACTGCAGTTGTCAGGTTTCACATGTATTAGTAATGGCTTATGCTCATTGAGTTTTATTTTGAGAAAACTCGAAAGAAATCAGCCCGGCATGCTTGCCAAAGCACGCGGTTTCTGAGTAAACAATCCTAAGCGTTGGTTGAGTTATACTTTGGTTTATTTTATGTACCCTGGTGAGTAAAAGCAGGGGGAAAGGGAAATTTTGTCGCCGTATTGATAGGTCGTACATTTTGTTGCAGATATCGACAGGAGACTTGACGGAGCAGCACGCGGTGCGTGAGCGCAACAAGTGCAAGCCGTTCCAGTGGTTCATGGACGAGGTCGCTTTCGACCTCGTCAAGCACTACCCGCTGGTCGAGCCTCCTGACTACTGCAATGGCACTGTAATGCTTAACTCAGTCTGCGCTCTAGCTGATAGTTGACTTTCAGACGAATTTTTTATGTAGACATTTTCATTAAGGGGAGCTTCTGTACTAAAAAACTTTTTTACTTACGGACGGAAGCTTTCGAAACTTGGTACACATGTGTAAAATAGAAATCTAAGACTTTTTTGCGCATTTATATTTTTTCAAAAAAACATGAAAAAGCTTAAAATCCATTGAAAACGCAGAAGAGGGGGTTACTGTAAAAATCTCTTCCTAGGTAAATCCTAGAATCTCCTCCTATGATTTTCAAGCGGCAACATCGAGAAACATATCAATTCGTTGCGTAAAGTCCAAATCTAAAGATCAACCAGTCATTTTTTTATTTTTCTTTTTAGTTTTTTCTGATTTTTTTCATTTTTATCACTCCTTTTTCGCGCATTCTCTCATTTATGGGAAAAAGGCGCTATTGTGCTCGTCATGTCCGTCTGTCTGTTCGTCCTTCCGTCCGTGACCACGTTTTCGCCGACGAGAAAATGCGCGCTCTGTCACTCACTGCAGTGAGTACTGAGTTATATTTTTTCAATATATAATCAAAGCAAAAAAGAAAAAAAATGACTGGAGGATCTCTGGAGAAAATTTTTCTTTCGAATCGAATGGTATATCTCTCAATGCTGTAGCTTGAAAATCATAGGAGGAGATATGTTTTTAAGACTAAACTTCCAACTTTTTTGGCCAAGACACTCCTCTTAAGGGAAGAAGTCAAGAAAGATGATTGTTCCTCAATATAAAATGGCTAAAGCATTACTGTTTTTGGTGAAGTTATTTAAGGAAAATTTTCAGACAGATGTTATTTAAATAATTTTTGATCAAATTCTAAACTAATATTTTCATAATGATGAATTTATTAATGTAAATTCATTTTCATCTGCACTATTGGCATGACTTATACCCCGGTAAAATGTATGCTTGACTCGTGTCACTGTATGCATGAAGTTCAAGTCATGGGGTTTAAGTATTTATTTGTTGGTCTGTCTCAGGTAAGGAGCATGGCGAAGCCCTCGCTGTGTGTGGACACTCAGTTTAAGGGCCAGTTTGACCGCCTGGACTCACTGGCTGACTGTTCCTCCAGCTCCCAGCAGCTCTTCCAGCTCACTGGCTACAAGGTCTTGCCATCTCCCTGTTGCTCATTTCCCTCTTGCTCATTGCCCTCGGTGCTGTCGTTACATACTTGTTGGGGTAGCTAAATATTACGCGTTGTTATTCAATGTGCAGTAGGAAAGAAATTTGGCGTTGGATTAAAGATAGCGTTGCAAAATCATATTTTTAGATAGGTTAACACTAACGAAATGAAATGATTTTCAGGACCTGCGGCCGCTCAAGAGTCATAATTGCTTTGATGTGCCTGATGTGGCGGGAGCTCGTGCCCCTGTCCTGCTCTACGGATGCCATAAAGGCCTTGGCAACCAAATGTGGAACTACAACTTGGTGAGGCTCGACTAAGAAATTTAATGAATTCGTTTAACGGCATTGTTTTCTCCTTGCTATTTTTGAACGCGACAAATTTTCTGTCGCCTCGCCAAGAATAATCATTTTCCTACCGTAGCTTCCAGGCGCGAGAACAGTCGTCATTAGCGCCCTCATCCAACTTAACACACCTTAACCATCTCCTCATTAGTGGCACTTAGATTTGAACGCATTTCTATCCTCATTACAATTCTTTGCCTGCCTCCATTTTGATTATATTATTTTTGTTTTATAGATATCTATTCTGTTGCTGTTCTTGTAGTTATAAATGAGCATGGCGGTTTGATGGAATTTACATTAAATCTTTTGCGCTGTTGGGAATATTTTAACCGTCCCCATCGAAGAGAAGTGTAACATTTTTAGCAGATGCCGCATACAGTTATTGTGAACCAGCACTTGATTTCATGCCGGTACTAAGTTGAATCTTGGTAAACAAGAAAAGGTAGAAAATAAAATGGATGTCAAAGGATGAAAAATTCCGGAATAGATTCGCTATTTCAACAGGATTTAATAAGCGAACTCGGGATTTACAGGAAACGCACACGATCAGGTTCGGGCAGTACGGTTCCCACTGCCTGGACGCTAACCTCGCTACCAAGGAGCTCTTCGTGTCGGCCTGCAACGAGGGCAGCGAGTCTCAGCGATGGGAATGGACGTATGTCAACGAAGAACGCCTCAAGCGTTACGATATACTCGACCCCTTGCCTTCTTAAACCACAAATTCGTCATAATACTTGCTCATTTTCTACTCCTTGCTTCTATGGAATTTAAAAATAATTTAAAATCAGAGAAACGTGCTCCATGAGTAGGAAAGTTTTTATTCTTGAATTGAGTTTGACAACGAATTTAAAAATGCAAGATCGTGCCTCCCGAGTCTTGCTTTGCTCACCGTTACCTATACCTTATCATCGAATTGAGAATCATATTGATGGGGCGCACGATTTGTACTGTTAACATGAGTGTGAGTGATAAATAGGAAATGGGTGTGCTAAAATCTCAGGTTCTAATGAGATAAGTCGTTTCATCTGATGAAAATAAAGCCACTCAAAATCTACTTGAAACTTACCTGTGCAATGTTTAATTTTAGTAGCAGAGCATTTAGGAGCAGCTAAGTGAGAATTATTATTGAACGGCCAGTCTTTGGTATTAACGAATGCATTAGAGATGTTGTGTGCTCGCATAACCCCTGGTCAATAAGCTGTCAAGAGGGCATGTCAATTTTCCATGGTGCGCCATGATTAATTTTAAGAATTACGGCAGTTCTGATTAGTTTTCGCGCTTCATAAAATCCCTGCTGTGGCTCGAAAAAATCTTTCACCTTATATTGAGAATGAGAAATGTTTATTTTCATCCGTAGCTTGTTTTTAAACTATATAGATCGACTTGAGAGTCGGGCTTGGAGTCCTCGAATTTGCAGGTTTTTATTTATTTAAGAAGTAAAAAAAATAATTGGAATAATTGGTAAGTATTTGTATATGAAGCAATAACGCTCTTAACGTTCCAATATAAATATTAAGACAATATTTTACAATTATTTATGCATGTCTTCTTGATAGGTGAACGCCATTTCAAAGAATCACATTTGCGTAGAGCTTTTTGGAAGCTGATGTTTGTTTCTCCGAAGCTGATCCATTAATATGTGAGAAATATTCCATTATATGAATTTAGTTTTGTGTTATTTATTTTGAGATATCCATGCGGGCTTGTGTTAAAACCTGTTAATATTACAGTTAAAAGATAATTCGTTAAATAATTAAGTGTAGGTATCGCTCATTAACGAATCAAACAAACCACCCAGCTTCATTGCTCAAATCACGGCAACTTTTCATTATTTATGTTCGTTCTGTATTTTCACCCATTGCGCGAGTTCACCCTTGGCGCCATGACTTACTAGTCATTCCTTCTTGACTTAATTCCAACCGACGTGCAGACTCCGAACCCGTATGAGCAGTGAAGCCAAGTATCATGGATACCACCATGATCACACTTAGAAATTTGAAGGAAGTCATGTGGTGCAGCTCCAGGATGCAATTAATATTGACTAATAATCTTCTGGGGAGCTTTGATGCATCGAATAGTAAAGTTCACGGACAGAGTTTGTGCCATGGTCCAGCGTCGTAGATCATCAGTATTAGTACTGGATCATCAATTAGTAGTAGATTGTTCCAGGATGCGTTCTAGCCCTCCACATTCCGTACCTATGTCAAGCCTACAGGTGCACTCCATTTCCACTGACATGAGGTTTTGCTGTTTCAAGTTTATTGTCGTAATTTTGTTGTATAGTCGAGTAGTGTGACGAAATTTATTTTGACGAAAGTAATATTAGAACTGTTTAAGATATTATAATTATTGATATATGAATTCTTATGCTCGCAAGATATTATTTATTCAACTGGAATAATGGAATGCAAGAAGTATTACTTAGAGATAAATTAGATAAAAGATAAATATTATCATTTGTCCGTTTGCTCATGTCTTCAAAAGCATAATATTCAGCTTCCCATTCAGCTCTAAATGTGTACAAGTCTAGAGTTCCATTAGTTACACAGCTCAATCCTTGTCGCAGCATTAATGATAGCTGCCTTGATACAATTATTTTTATATAAAGTCAATAAGGCTTAAATGGAATTTATGGACCGTTTTGTATGTGGTTATTTGCAGATGCCTAGCATATGTAGGTACCTAATTATTTCTTAATTCCTTCGCCTCTCATTTACTCGTAATTTTTCTTTGGTATGGAATTTCTTGCATATATCGTCCTTCACATGTTTGCAACGCTCATGTCGTTACCGCTGTGCAAGTTTGTTATTCTACTTAAATCAGCGACTCTTACCGCCACTCTGAGCTGATGCTTCTCTCATGATCAACATGGACGTTGATCTTAATATAGTTGGTCCATTTCGACTCTGCATTCTGAATTTGTTGTAAAAATCTTGTCTCGCCGGCAACACTATTTTTTTTTTAGTTTTCGGTTTGAATGCATAAAAGTTTATAGTGTTTTCTGAAAGAGTTGTGGCCAAAAAATTTGAACTGCTTGTGAATTTTTCTACCGCAATCTGCTTTCCTGAATCTGGCCATGGAAATGGATGAATTCATTTAGATATTTATCTTTACAAGCCAAGGATCAGATGGTAATATTGGCTAAATGTTATCTTCTTTGGTATCTTATCTACTAGGAATATTTTAATTGACTTGTGAGCCATCCATGAATGGTAATCCGTTTGCGTTTCATAAGGATCTTTAAAGGTGAGTTTAGGCAATCGTGACCAATGTAAAAGCGACGTTACAAAGAGCAGATCAACTTAGGTCTATTCTGTATGATTTTTAATAAATGGCTTCGTAGTGATAGATGTTGAGTACAGAAGCTTGCAGGGTAACAGACACCTGCTTATAATAATGCTCTGCATGGGAGTCGTTGGCTTTTGTCGGAATAAAATTCTTTTACTGCCTTATGTGAATAAGAATTTCAAGTGTCGTTGAGGTGAATAAATATAGTTATTGTATTGCACCGTTTTGTGTGCTGCAGTCTTGGTGTAATTCAGAGCACGTTGTGTGTATTCTGTTTCTGTTTTGTGTGGCAATGTTACTCTGTAATCCAAGAAATTTATGCACATTTTATTGTTTCGTTTGTAGTTGATTTGTTTTATCATTCGAAAATATGGTCTTTGACATTCCACGTTATTAATATTGTTGACGTTGATTTAATTCTATTTCGTGTGTTATCATTTATTCGTGGATTGATGAATTTTCTCTTTAGATTGAACACGATTACCAATTTATAATCCAGTCTTCGATGAGAATGAAGGACTTCTGATGTTCAGTGTTGTCTTGGGACTACCATACATGCGTTGTGTTATTGCGTGCAACGAAAGATTGGCATTTGCCTGTCGAATGGCTGTGTGAGTTTGATGTGTTTTGTTACAAGTTGATTTTAGTAAAAGTTGCAGTAAATATTTGTTTAGTACCCCACATTCATTCTTTACATTTAAACTAGAGGAATGGCGAGAGTAAAATAAGTTTACAGTGGGTAAGATTTGTCGTAATTTTTTATAGCGAACCGTGATTTCCTTGCCTTGTAGCCATGATTGATGAACCTTGTTGCCGGCAGTTAGCTGTAAGGGTACGTACACAGTGAAAGCAGGTTTGCCCGCGCGGGCAGCCTGCTCCAACCTGCCACAAGAATGAACATAGGATAATAATGTAAGTATTCACAGTGAAAACCTGTACGAATAGGCTTCTGCCGACAACCTGCTTATACCTATTTACCGGAATGTACAGCACATTCTTATTTGCTCAACCTGCTTGGCATATGGTCATTTTTGAATTAGTTGTACCTTTAAACCCTCCATTTTCTTTGTTTCTTAGGAATTATTTCGCACATCAGATGAGCCTATTGCGAAAACATGGATACACAAATAAAATACACTAATAAAAATACATACCATAATAAAAATACACCAATAAACACGTTAACAAAGTACACTAGCAAAATACAATAGTAAAATACGCTAATATATTAATAAAATACACTTATAAAGTACACCAATTAAGTTCACTAATAAAATACACTAATAATACACTTGCTGACCCAGAGCACTGATTAGGTCGCAGCTGGTTTCCTGCTTCCTCTGTGAACCTCTCGCACTTGTTTCAGGCGCCAGCCTCAGCAGGTAACCAGCATGCTGGCAACCTGCTTTCACTGTGTACGTACCCTTAGCAGGAATATGAAGAGGCAATGCAAATATCTAAACGTCATACAAACGTAATTGCGGTCACCGAGATTTGAAAATGATAGAAATTTAATAGAGAATGTTCAAAGACGTGCAACAAGGATAATTCCATGCTTGAAGGGCAAGTCCTATGAAGAAAGATTGAAGATTATGAAGCTTCCAAGCCTCAGTTATCGACGTCTGCGTGGGGACCTCATTGAAGTATACAAGTATACTCATGGTCTATACAAGGTCCCTGAAGGGTTGCTAGAATTTGAAACAAGAACCAACACCAGGGGCCACGGCTATAAGCTAAAAAAATTGCGCTGAAACTTCTCCACGCGACAAAATTTCTTCTCGTTTCGAATCACCGACATGTGGAACAGCCTCCCCGATGACATCGTTGGCGCTCCAAGTATGAACGCGTTCAAGAACAAACTAGATAAAGCTATGGAAAAATATATGTTCAGATTTGAAATCCTAGCTCCTTATCGAACCCGGTGGAAGTCTAGTAGCTACTTCAAACTATCGCCAGTCATGAAAAGATCCGGTCAAATGACACGAGTTTAGATCTATGAACAAGGCAGGAAAAGAATCGGCGACAGGCCACATCAGGTCTACACTTCAGCGCCGACATCACTATGTTATGTTATGTTATAAAATTCAGGTTTTGAAGCAATTCTGCCAATTTCCGACGTTGAAGCAAGATTTACGCTCGAGAACGTGTATGACGGATACGATTTGAAGCTGGCCAATTCGGAGCATGATTGAAATATGGTTAGGGTAGAAACAAGCCTCAAGGCATGGCCTCCTTACCATCATACAACGGCCGAAAAATAAGGGATGACGATCGCTGATCTGGATGGAACCAATAGAAAAATTCTTGAGCATGAAAATAGGTTAAGAACTTTGGTTCTTAGGAATGCATCACGAAGCTTCCAAGGTATCACTCTAATTGCACTTGAAAAGTATTCTTTACTTAAAATTCCAAAATTGCAGCCAGCTGCAGATTTATTCATGTTCAGCTGACTCAAGTTGAGCATTTAAAGCACAGTGTTCGGATTGGGTTATCCCTGCTTGGGGTGTGCCGCGCATCAGCTGTCGGGGCGAGGGTAGCCTGGCCGGGACAATTGCATGACTATTTGATTCAGCAGGCTGTGGAGTGAGGTAGCCTGGTAGTGGTAGGTGTTGCTTAAAGTTGGTGTGGGGAGATGACTCAGTTACCTACAGCTTCTTGGGTGTGAGCTGAGTTTAGTTATTGCATTTTAGGGCCGGCGTTGGCGCTAGGGCTTGTTTACGAGCTAAATTTGTGGTGTAGGGCTGCGCTCCCGCCTGGCCGGGTCACGACGCTGCCAAAGCTCGCATGAAGGCGGGAACGTGGCCAAAGTGACTGGGATGACTTTGGCCACCGGAGTGACGTTGGCCAACATTTATTATTTTGTTTTGCTGCCATTTGTTTTTGTTGTAGTGGTGGCCGAAGGGATGGTAAGCAGTTCATTTCCTCATAGCATTTCCAGACACGTTTGTGGTCGCAAATTTGTGGTCTGATCGTCAGGTCTAACTTGCGTTAGATAAAGATAGAAAAAATAAAGCAACTTGGGACCCGGGATAAGAAAAAGGCATTGATAATTGCCTTTCATCCAACGTTATAGTCTTAAATCAAATATATGATGAAAATGCTCACTCCATGAATATACCTATAATAAGCTGTTATTTAATTCTTGTTTGTTAGCAAAGCGTTCGAAGACACGTACATTCAAGTAAATAAAATAAAGGAGCTTCAAGTAAGAATAGAACTGGATAATTTTTACTATTCTAATATTATCTCTACATAACATAAGAAGAAAATTTTTGAATGAAACATTACTTTAAAAAAATTATTAAAAATAATTTATTCATTTAAAAAATGTAATTGAAAAAATAATTTAAAATTATTCTGTTATTTATTTTGAAAAAAATATTTGTGCCATACCGTGAAATTGATTTTTGTACTCTCCATGTCACTCGTAAAAAAAATTAGTTTCATTTTTCTCAAAATAAAATTTGAATTTTGAATTCTTAAGATTCTTAAGTGTCCGTGATATTCAATTAAATGTAAGTTTAACTTTGGTCCATGTATTGAGATTATTTTATTGCTTATCTCGGGAATTGGACAAGAATTAAAAATTACACGAAACTTTAAATGAATTCACAAAATTTGTATTGGAAAAGCTTCATCATTTATAAAATTCAATAAAATGAGCAGAGTATCGGAGAAGAAAATTAATTATCAATTAAAGCAACTAAAATCTATTGACAATGTTCAAAAAGTATTCGTTTATAAATAGGCAGAAATTCTAGGAACCTCAAGTCGGATGATGCACCGGAGGTGGGAGCTAAAGTTTTTAAAATCATAGGAAGACACCGGGACTCTTTCTCGTGACCCCTCAGGGGGGACTTCTGACGCGTGTCTGTGCTCGTCAGAAGTCATATGTGATTTTGCTCTATTAGGGGGATTGTTCCTGAGCGCCCCACCGCTGAGCTCGCGGTGTCTGACTGCAGGACTCAGTTGTGGGGTTAAGTTATTATGTAGGTAGGATTCCTTGCATTTCCCTTCTCTGTCTCTCTCGTGCAGGCGGCCGACGTCCCGTGTAAGCGACTTCTTGTTCGAGTGTCTTAGTTTCTGTTGCTTTTCACCTGCCCCTCCTTGTCACTTCGTCACTTCGAGATGCTAACGCTGCTTCAATCGAGCCAGCTTCAGCGGGCTGGACATCTGAGACCTTCCGCCCCTTGTGGGTGATGATGAATTTGAGATTTTGAATAATTGAGACCTTCCGCCTTGCTGGTGATTTTATAGTTTGACCTCCGGTGCGAAATAAAATAGCTGAAGCGCTAGCAAACCATTATACTACTACTCCTACTACTACTGTTTCTCATGAAATTGATTTTGAAAGTGAATCCAAACATAAAATAAATCTAAACACTCTCCTTTCAAACTTTCGAATTTTGAGGAATATCTTCCATAACCACGATACAAAACATTTTGGTGTGAGAATATTCATTGAAATCTTTAGAAGCTACAAAGTTTAATTTCGATTTGAGTCTGTTGCAAGCTCATGACTGAAGATTGTTAATATTCATTCACTCAGAAATTTCCGTATTTTTCCGTTTCGAATAGGTGGATTTAGCATTGCTTAGTAAGTCCGAATGCATGTAATGACCAATAAAGCTCTGCGCGTAAATTATGTCTGACCACCTCAATTTCATAAGCATTTCCGTGTCTTGTTCTAATTTATTTTGATTCCATTACAAGAATAGTGCAGGGATGGTGTTATGGATGATATCAGTTGTGATGGCCCACGGGGGTGGTTCACCGCAATCAGCACACCCATGATGACGCCGACCTTGCGATACCTGACGAAGCAAATGATTTTCAAAAGTCACTCCCCATTGCGCCTGGGATATCGATAACTCTTTGGTCAAACGATTGTCGTGTATTTAAATAAAAATGTACCAAAAATAATTATTAAATTTGAACGAAGATGACCAGAAATAATATTATGAAAATGTTCCATTTGTTCCCAGTGATTAATGAGCGATTAGAAAGAGTTTTAGGTGAAATTTATTTGAATAACTGTTACCATGATGATTCTGTCGATCTGATATTAATAAACATTCCCCTTTTTATTCCGATCGAGGAGTAAACTTTAATTAATTAGCAGTATTTAATTTTAATATCAGTTGGAGTGCGGTTCGGCAGTGATGAATGCTGCGGTCAATGATGACTATGCCCCTGAATTGCTGCAGCTTCACAGAAGCTTCTCATCAAAACGAATCCGTTATTGAATCCGTAACATTTTAACACCGAAACCGAGGCAGTTATACTCCCTCGGTTTTAGTGTATACTATATAGTACTATCGTAAATAGTACTATATACACTGGTACTATAGTACACTATAGTTTCAGTATCTGTATATACTATACTGAATTCCTCTTCATCACCACAACTAAAAATGATCTTATTTCATTATGAGTCATTATATTGGTTGGCAACTGCTGTAGCATTTCTAGTGAAAATTTATTTATTTACCTATGTTTTCTATTGGATGATTATAGTAGTATTGTGTTTTCCAAGTCAACCTCAAGTTTGTTTTTATTATTTTCACAAAGTTCCAACATTTTCAAAAAGAATAAGCATTCCCATTAGCAGAACTGGTTATTGGAATAATGATAAATAATATATCTTCATTCAGCCAATATTTTCAGGTCATATCAGGCATTAGCATTCAATTTAGTGTAATTAAACAAACCCACTAATTTAGTTCTATTCCCAAAAAATAGATGGTAATGTAATGGTATTTTTCAAATTGGTGTTGAATTACCAGACTACATCGTAGCCAATAATCGAAAATCGAATGAAGATCTTGAGACAACGCATAACAAACTCGGATAACCTGATGCATTGCTGCCATTTCATTTTGTATTACAAGCACTTTAATACACTCATTTACATATAAGCCACGACTCTACCTGTGATGATAGCACTACGGAAAGTATTGGCCAGCCCTCTTCAGCGGCTGGCTCATTATTATGTAGCTTAAGTTCATCGATTTATTCAACGCATAAGTTGAAAAAATCAACAGATTTGGGCACAGTTTTCCAGCAAACGGATAGATATTGATTCAATTTTCTGTCGTCTGATTTATAGCTTACCATTAGTAGTACAAAACGTTTAAGTTTAGTAACGAATTTGCACAATTAAATTTATATACAGATACAATTTAAATCCTATCTACATTTAAAATTTGGTTTATTGAAAGTTATTATATGCAGAGAAAAGAGGAAAAATACATTGTAGAGTTCTTGCTCGTCCATCACTGGCCACGCAGTACACGTATACGTCTGAAACTAGGTGAAGAAACAACGAAAAAGTTGATCTGATCGTCTGCGATTCAGGGTCCTAGTTGCTGTTGTAGTAAAAAATGGGGGGCCACCCCCGGGTTTTACCCCGCGTCTTTCGCGTATTGATACTTGTATCTTTGCTGTTGTAGTAAAAAATGGGGGGCCACCCCCGGGTTTTACCCCGCGTCTTTCGCGTATTGATACTTGTATCTTTACAACTTTATACTCTCTAACCGGGAAAATCCAGAGCGAGGTAAAATTTTTACTTTTTCCATCATAACTCGGCAACTCTTCAAACTATCGCCAGTCATGAAAAGATCCGGTCAAATGACACGAGTTTAGATCTATGAACAAGGCACGAAATGGAAAAGAATCGGCGACAGGCCACATCAGGCCTACACTTCAGAGCCGACATCACTATGTTATGTTATGTTATGTTAAAATATCTAATGTGTTTATTGCGGTATCAGATAAGCTCCGACAGTGGGATTTCCTATTATTAATTTCGGAAAGTTTTCAATCAATATGAATTTCCTTAATTCTACAATTGAACTGAAATTTTCACGAAAAGTGCATCTGATGTACTTTGATGAAAGACATGCATACATCAACATAAAAGTGAATTAATTAAAATTTATGTTAAATCTTATTCTCTGGGTTTGCAAACATCATTCGTTTAGGTTGTTGTAGAAGTAGCATACGAGAAATGTGTTGGCAAATAAATATTGAAATGATAATCCATCCTGCTCGTAGTTATGCCTGATCGTTAACATTTGAATCAAAAACTTGTGTAAAAATTTGATTATATTAGAAATTACTAAATATTGACTCCACTGAGAATAATTTAACTACAATTATTTAAAGGTAGATACAAATCAGCTTCATTGGACGGTTATAATAAGAATAATACCCAGCACATTTACGCTGTCGCCTTCCGAGGTTCTTCATTTGATTCTTTCAAGCATTATATTACGAGTGAGCCACAATCACCATTTCGCGAAATTTCGACCACTTGTTGCAATGGCTGCCGCCGGAAGCAAAACCACTGGCTTAGAGGATGCATTGTAATCGTTGCCAAAGAATCCTTCATTTGACCTTCACAACAATTCGGCCAGTGCAAGCAAGCTTACAGCTCGTAGCTAGCTGTCCGGGGTAACGTCGGCATTTGTCGGTCACGACATAATCGACCAATAATCGAAAAAACGGCGTTTAGCATAACACCTAATAATCGGTTTAGCACACCACTGAATCATCATTCGCGACTCAGGAAAATAGAGCCAATCACGGACGAGAAAGACGAATAGATGAAAAAAGACATAATTATTACAATCATTATTGCTCACAACCGTCACTTTTTCGACGTAAATAATGTGCATTAGAGGGATTAACTCTCAGGAATAAGTTATTTAATCGCTAGCTCGTAACCTTCAACGCTTTCAATGTCATCCACAAGGCACGGATGCAGCAAGCGCATCGCGCTCTGAAATCCAGTCTCGCCTCATCGCGCGGCCAGACTGAAATTCATGCATCGTAACTGAGCAGACATTCATTACTAAGTCTTTATTATGACTCTGAACTATGGTTGGACTTTAATCCTGTCAGTTTCGAACACTCGTATTGGAGCCAACAATGATGCGGAGCTTTGTATTTCTCGCAACCGTAACAACCCATCAAGGAACGTTTGCTACAACCGGCTTCTAGCGCGGGGGTGTGACGGATCTGCTTATAATTTATAGTCCCTACATATGGCCTCAGTTATGGCACTGTATTTTGTTGGTACTTTTGTACTCGATGCGATGCGAGGAGAAATATATTGTGGTAAATGAGATGGAAATGAAATCACTTCATCAAATTTGACGCCTATGAATACGTACTGTTTCATTTTTCTGTCAGTTAAAAGATATTATGTTACAAAAATTATTTTGCAAGAGTTTACTCCAAAGATTTGCATGAAAGGTGACACTGTAGATTAACAAGATTCCAGGGACAAAAAGCCGAATCTCGTGAAGTCGCAATGGGTACCAATCAGTAAAATGTGCTTATAGTTTATTTTTCATGTTATTATTTATTATACATTATGGCATTGAGCATTGACATAGCGAAAATTCTGCATTGTTTACAGTATACAGGATGGCGATTTTTGTATAATTTCCCCATGATCGGTCTTTACCATCGTGCTGCTTTTATATTTTTTTGTCGTTGGCTGAGATTGAATTCATAGGCACTGCCCATGCTGTTGAATAATAAAAATAAACTGTATTAGCTCTTCGATAAGAACACAAGAAAAAGCTTTGGTCTAGCTTTGTTTGCAAAATTTCGGAACTCGCGCAGGATTGGAAGAAACTCAACCGCTCTGAATTCGCTATAATAATTTAATTTATACAGTAATAAAAATATATGATTGCATGGAGTCTTAATTTTTCAATAGGTTCGTACAATCTTTGAGTTAAAAAATGAAACTATTCTAAAGACATGCATACAAGCTGCATGAAGGTGCGTAAAGCCATATTGAATAAGATTTTCGCCAATTGTTGTGTTTTAATACAAGATGAGGTTACATGTCAACACATGCCTTAGGTGTGTTGAAAACTGCAGGATCTCAGTTTAAAAATGTACAAGGCATTCTAAAATTTCCGTATTTTAGAATCCTTGGATTCTAAAATCTTTGCGTATTTTCGAATCCTTAATTGTACATTTTTGAACTGAGTCTCAGTTTGAATTCATCTTTTAGCTCCTATCCACGTGAGATTGTGAGTAGATAAGTTATGAATTTTTTTCTCGTGTTTTGTCTTTTATTTATAAATTTTGGTTATAATTTCGGTTCAATGAATTTCAATTGTACTAACTTGTGGTTTCATGTGAATTTTAAAATGCACACTCGTGCATTAGAATTCATTCGTGAATTCTAATGCTTCATTCTTCTCACTCCTATTTAATTCATTTCCAATTGGTTAAGTCAATTTATAAGAAAGCTATATAAATGTAAATCCGGCAATTATGAGCTAAGCTTTTATGCAAAGTAATCAGGAAATTCCATGTCATACAATGAATAAAACATTGTCTTTCATTAATGTTCGCAGTACCTTATCCTCGTTCATAATTTTGCCCTTCCCTATAACTGGTATTTATCCCAATTACTCTGAGCCCTTTTGGAAACTGGATTTTGTAGCAAAGAAACATGAAGGATGCGCCCTGGGCGCCTGGAGATGTCGCATCTAGAATCATCCAGCGAACTGCAATTTGTGGAGCGCCTTAGAAACAGGCTTTATAAGCAGAGTTATCTGCTGCGATGTCACTCGACAACCAACGCTCATCCTGCAAACTTGCCAGCCAAAAAGCACCGGTGAGTATTTATTTTATAAATTTCAAAGTTAGTGCAAAAATGTGGTAATTCACCTTCAAATGATACTTTCATTTGATCACAAACAACCTTTTCAAATAAATATTTTAAAAATCTATCAAACAAGCTTTGAAAAAGTTTTTTATTGGCATTTAGTAAACATTAAATGAGAAATTTTATTTTACTTATGCGAGCACCACTCGTATATCCTGACAAATGAACCAGCTTCCTGAGTATTTATTCACTTCGGAGACAAATGAGCAGGAATTTTTTCGTTTCTAAATAGATGAATTCTCATTAATGACTAACCGTGCAATATACCACGTTTAGTGTCTTTGTAATATTGTAGTAATCTTTGAAACTACTTTGATTTATTATTGATCTAAATGTATAAGAACCTTCCAATAATATTTTTTATTACAGACAATTAAGCATCGCAAAAATGAAAACTGTCTTCATTTTCCTTGCCTTCGTGGCCATCGCAACTGCACATCGAGGGTAAGTTTTAATTGTTTATACATTTCGAATAGTCGGACTGTTTACCTATTTGTTTCACAAAATCTAGCTGTCGACAGATTATTGACATTATTGAAACCGTATTAATAAGAATATTCTGACTCGCGCAAATATTTACACTGTAACTTCTCCCTAAAATTACTAATATGTTGTTAACCGCGAAAATTTTCCAAGTTTCTTTCAACATATTTGAGTCGGTCAGCCTTTAAATTAAATTAAATTTAGCATCTGATAACTACTACTAAATTGAGAACTACTTGCTTCTAAATGTCTGTTGTAATGTCGTTCGTAGGAGCCTCACCATTCCTTCAAGTTGTTTTTAAGGGCAAAACGAGCACGAAATTACGTGCAATTATTGAAGCTACATATATCCACACAAAATCATTTTCATTTTCCCCAATCATCACTGGAGAGACTAACTCAGATGTATGATACAGTAAATCGAGGAAATTGAATTTATTGATAGGAAATTTGAAAGGTATAAATACAACGATCAGGTAAAACATACTCGCGTAAGGTAAACTGTATGTTTATAGACAAATACTGTATAGAATACTTTTGCGAACTTGTCAATTGTTAATTTTAGAAATTTGCATGTTTCCCTTCATCTTGAGTAAAAACTATTTTCTTGGGTTTACTTCTATCAAAATTCAATTATTGTTACCATTCTTTAAAAAACTCAAAATCAAACCAATTTATTTTCGCTCTAATCAGAATTATGTGAAGCCATTTCGTGATCTTATAATATTTTAAAGAAACTTCAAACAAATTGTTTCTTTAACTTTTAGGAATTCGAGTCCGGAGGAAAGGGCCTGCTGGGACGCCATCCGCACGGAAGGAGGCCGAGACGAAATTAAAGGTTACTTCGACACCTGCATCGCCCAGCAGTCGGGCCTTCAGGCCATCATCGACACCCTCAAACGTACATAATTATTCTTTGTGGATATTATTTATTATTTACTTTATGCGTTTGCATGGCAAACACTAAAAAGATATCTGTTAACTCTCTGCACTTTAAAATAAAGTTTAAAAAATAAAGTTTAAAATTGTGGATCCAAGTGCAATATATTTAAAAAATAATATATAATTTACTTCAATAAACATTTACTTTATTCGTTTGCATGGCAAACTTTATAATTGAATCCTTTAACTCGTTGCGATTTAATATATAAAGTTAATTCATGTGTAGATCCAATTGCAACAAATTCAAAAATACTATAGAATTTACTTCAATGAATCTAAATTTTTAGGTCGCTCGTGAAATAAATGTAATTTTGAACGGCTAGGCTGTTTCTTGATTCTTAATTCATAGCGCAACGTTTCGAATTATATTTTTAGAAGAAGAACGAGAGTTGTTGCTTTATTTTATACTCCCCCCCTCAATGGCAGCCAAACGTCCAGAGGGAGATCAGGCCACAGGTACCAGCAGCACAGAAGGCCCGGGAGGTCAGGGCGGTCGTCGTGGTCCACCAGGCGGTCGTGACGGTCGGCACGGCGGACGTGGCAACCCGGTGGCCCTGCTGCGGGAGAACGGTTACACCTCCGAGGTGGCGGTGCTCCTCAAGTGTGTCGCCCAGGAGCAGGGCTATGTGAGTACTCATTGATTATTATTATTAGCGCATTTTCTCATTTATGGAAAAAATGCACTATTGTGCTCGCCATGTCCGTCTGTCTGTCTGTCTGTTCGTCTGTCCGTCCGTGACATCAAGTTTTCGTCGACGAGAAAATGCGCTCTCTGTCACTCACTGCAGTGAGTACTGAGTTATATTATATTATGTTTCATTGTGAAGGAAGGTACTACAGGTATTGTATCAGACGGTTTAGTGTAATATTTTGAAGTGCATGTGTTTTCGATTTGTGATTTGATTTGATTTGTATGTATGTTTTGATTTTATATAAAAAGAACCCAGAGGACCAGAGAAAAGCATTAGTTTCGATTTTTGGTTAAAATTATTAATCAGAATGTGATAACGCATGTATAAACGGGTGCCTTCTATTGAGATTAATTCGATCACCTGCAGAATAAATTTTTATTACGAAAATCGAAATCATGTTCTTGATACTCATTCTCAGTAATCACGTTTTCAAATTACATTGGCTCCAAACTTACCCGATTCTTTCGGTTATAATCCTGATCTGATAAGTTATGGGACTCTTCTTACCTTTTATCACAGCTTGACGCTTCTGGAAACTTCAACATCCAAGACTACAAGAACAAGCTCATCGCCAGCGTCACCGCCGCCGGCAAGCAGAGTGAAGTGCAACGCGGCATCGACAACTGCCCCACGGACGCCCTCACCGCCTATGATGTGAGAAATAACAATTTTTTAAAGAATTTGTAATCTTTAAGTTGTGGCAGAAGTCATGTCTACGGTTGAGCTTAATAATTGTCATAGTATACAGGTACATGATAATTTAAATTAGCTTTCACATCTGCAATCAATCAATATTATCTTCGGTAAAAATTAATGATTAGATATTATACTGATTTCAATTGAATTGAAAACAGAATATCAATCTAACAATATCAGTGCAAACAAAACTAACAGGGGAAAGTCCGTCCCTCAATCATTTGTACTGCTGTGCAAACAATATTTCTTCACAATCGCTCACATATAACTACTCAATAAACCAACACCCATTAATCTGTTCGCGCAGGTGAAAGAATACATGCGCTGTGTGATCAGCTACTGCGCTACTGGCGCTGCTCCCACCAATTAATACCCACGCGATTCTCCATTCCACGGTCGGAGCTCACAGAGCAACTACCATGGTTGAACTAGTATAAGGTTGACCCATGAGAAGCTCATTTTTTGCGGATGGAGCTATTTGTTCGCACGTGACATCACTGATCTCAGTGACGTCACGGGCATTAACCAATCACCGAAATGCGATCAAACGAGTCAACCAATCCATCATGGGAATGACGGGTTTGTTTACGTTTCTCGGTCTCAGTGACGTAACAAGAAAGCTGAACTGAAAGACGTAACTTATCGTGGGTCAACCTTGTATAGTTCAACCATGGCATCTACTATCAGCATCAGTGACGTCACTGGCCCAACGATGAAACTACAGCACTTACAGGCATATTATATTCCAGAACGCAGTTCCAATGTAGTATTTGAATATTAATAGTATATAATGTATGTTTCGCTATGCTTTTTCTCAATACATATTTTCCTTAATATTCGTTTCGTTTGGTTTGCCCGATCTTAGAGAACACATTTAAACATAAATTATCTTTATTCATATTCAAATAAGTAGTTAATAAGGAGTCCTTCTCGACAGCTCTTCTTACATGGATTTAATCCATGTCGTTGATACGAACTGGTGACGTGCTTGACTGAACACTTCAGCTCTTTGGAACGAGTTTCCAAGACAGTTTTTATATGTTATCAATGCATCATATTAAAAAATGTAAGAAAGAACACAATGCACGAATTCCTCGGCCGTAGGATTATTGTAAAAAGTAACGGTAAATGGATTTAGGGTAAAAAGTGATTGAAAGGATTAGATTCCTCCGTTATGTCACAGCTTTGTGTGGAGAAAATCGTACGTAGATAATAATATAAAAGGAATCAGTGTACATAATACAAAACATCATGAGTATTTTGCTTACATTCAAACATAATAATGTTTGTGAGTAATAAATTAATATATAATAATAAATAATCTATCAATCCCTCTTCTTTGGATCAAACCCGCGTCGCACGCGCCCCTATATAGGTGTATGATGGATGGCACCGCGTTCTCGTCACAAGTGGATGTCGACTTTGATTTCCGTTCGTGCAGACTCGTCGAGCCAGCAAGTGTATTGTAGAATTCAAACTTGGAGTATTTCAGCCTGAGCTGACAGCTCAATCTAATAAACTAACAAATGCACAAAGGTGAATATTTCACTCAATGTTGAAATGTTGAAACACTCATATGACGTAATATAGAGACAAATAGACTAAATCGGACTTTGCGCACTTTAACCGCACTTCGAAATTAAAGGCAGGAAATTTGTTATGCACTACACGATCACAATTCTAGGCTCGTTAGCCGAATTGATTACAATGACTTCGCTGTGAAAGATAATATAATAACGCAGCATGTGAAACGCTCTTCGATCACTAGGCCCGGTAACAAGATCGCGTGTGCACTCTTCCTGCCTTCCCTCCGCAGCCCTGCTCGTAAATCAGCATGGAAAACTGAAATAAGAGACTGATCAATGCTATAACTATAATTTTACGCAGCAAGTTGAATTGGTATCTATTTTGAAAACTATATTAATATTTCTAATTAACGCGGCACATAAATGAACAAGACAATATTTTCTCTTGCAGCACCTCAACACTTCAATAAGATCACAACGAGACGACGACCTTGCAGAAGCAGGCAAAACGTATATCTAGTTTCTAGAGAAAAAAACGCACATATATCAGAATTACACTGAAACTGGATGGTGATAAGCCGATTGAACCTCGCTTTATAGTTCCGAAAGCATACGTATTTAAATGCAATTTTATATATGGAATTATTAAAATTTTAAAAATAGAATTATTATAACTTGCTTCTTCTAAAATACTGACGCGAGCAGTAATCACTTTGCGAGCATAGCAACGTCCCTGCATTCGAAATTGACTATAAAATTTTATCTTCCATTTCCGGTGTTTGCAACAGATAAATTTTACAATCCTTGTATATTTGCAAACGGAAGTTTAGTTTGAATGCTCCTTCTAGTTCTTCCCACTTACCATATAGCCAACGGAAAGATTTGTCGGCATGTTATTATTTCCCACTGCCGTGTTTTTAATCGGCAATTAATTTAATAATTGTACTGTTAACATTGATTAAGCTAATTAATTGTACTTCCATTCTAGGATTTTCGAACTCACGGTGTAGCCGGTCTCTAGAATAATTTTCATATAGATATGATTAATTTTTGTGGCATTTTTTTCACTTTTATATTCCTATAGTATCTTATAATTAGGTTAATTTATCGGGTCAAGAACGGAACGGTAAGAAATCAAAATTTCAGATATGCAAACAAACTATATATCACTATATATTCATAATATAATAAAACACTGGATTTTACAGAGTTGAAATAAAATTTATTGCATTTATTTTGTTTCATGCGTTGGAGTTGTCGGGTAAATTGTCACATCCAACGCGCCTGCATGGAAGCTTGCTCCTGCAACACATTTGATGCAACGGGCAGCAAGGAGCCTTTCACGCTCCGTAATTAATGGGGGCAATTTGTGGAGGATTGAATTTCTTAGAAATTTCTTCTCCCATGACTTACTTTCTTCACAAATTCTTGCTGACATCTTTAGTTTTTCAAGTGTTTCAAGCCTTGACACACACCTTCCTACATATTTTTGTGATATCATGACGACACAATAATTTATATTCTCATAATATCTTTGTCTTCTCTAAACCAAGTATATAGCCTCCTCTAAAATTCAAGCCGTCTACTGCCATTCGTGCAGCGTGAAATGGGTGCATTGGATGAGATTCCTGCTTTTGTCGGAACCAGAAACAAAAGGATTGCCGGGGAGCTTTAAAATCACTGCCTAGGGATCCTTCAATTGACCTTCACATCAATTCGTACTGTATATGTACTGTCAAGCCTGCAGTTATCCACTTCCCGAGGTGGCGTCATTATCGCGTCCTTCTCAAGACCTAAAGGACGAACAAAGAGAAAAAAAACACACTATATCTTACACTGAGTAACCAGCAATAACGTAAGAGATCGATCACACCTATCACGGACGAAGATAGCAAATAAACGACGTGTTATGATCATCGCTGACGGTGATTACATATGCCGAATTCTGGTACCGGTTGTAATGTTACTGACGTCAATAATGTGCAGAAAAAACACGCCTATACTCAGGAATCAGACATGGGATCACTATAATAGCCGGTAACCTTCAACGCTTGCAATGCCATCCGCAGAGCGCCAATGCAGAGCCCATCCCGCTCGCATGACAACCGGCGAGGCCAGTTTAAAATCCATGCATCGTCTTTGGGTTAAACTTTATTTCCGTAATCTTTATAATGACTCTGAACCATGGTTGCACTTCAGCCCCGCCAGCTACATACAACTCCAGTGCGATGAACACCGATGCCATCAATCGTACTAAGCGACGCTGCAACTCTCGGGGCTTCGACAGCTAAATCTTGCCTAGGTAAGCTCGAAGTAACCTGCTGCTATGTTGCTTGATTTGGCATAGCAGGAAACATATTAGAAAACGAGAAGGAAGTAGAATTTAAAATTTATGATTTGTGCATATCACTAGTGTGCTCGGCATCTAATTTCTAAAAATTTGTTAGAAGAAACGATTACAATAATTTATTTTGATGATTTCTTAATAAATGTTGAAGAATTTACACAATACCGTATTACTTTTTGCCGAGTATTCGGGCTTGAATAATCATAATTTACTAATCTTTATAATTAAGCTTTGTTCGACTTATTATGGCGCTCGCAAATGATTTTGAAAAATACGAAATTTATACATTTTTCCAATCGGTTAACTTTTCGCAACATAGGCGGATCGAGATTCTTTAACGTATGCGAATAACTTATTTAAAATTATATGAAATTTAATTTTTAAGCAATCGATTGTTTTTAAATAATGCCAGGTAAGTCTAAATTCCATTAAAAACTAAAAACTAAAACTAAACAACTAAAAACTGTGCAGTGTGCACGTTTTGTTATTCGTCAACTCCTATTTGGGTGGCAAAATAAAAGTTCATCTCTCCGCCCTTTTATTGTTATCGAGGTTCAAATTGTACTAAAATTATGGTTGCATTGAAACCAGAACATTTAACGTGCGCCCAGCAGCCAGGAAGTTAGTTAGTGGAGCCTCCCTTAATGATCCCGATGATAAAATCAAACGAAAATTGAATTAAATGATCATATGCATGCATCACATCGAAACGACCTATATGCACGCAATGCATGATTTCAGTTAGTTGTAAAACATTATTTTGTCAATAAATATAATCTAAATATTCAATTAAGATATTTCAGATTCATTTTTATCTCCACATCATAATCGTCAAACTGAAAATGCATTAAAGCTTGCACTGCTAGAATGAAAGTTGTGTAGATTGCCAGAACACCTCACAACTTATCGCTAACTCATGGCACTGTAGGAGCTTCTGATGGACCAGAGACGCTGAGATGCACTTCAGTCCAGCCGACCATATTCAACGAGACTCGCACCGGCGCTTCAAGTTCTTGCCCGATGAAAATCGCTTCGTCCCAGCGGAACGCAAGTCATGTTGCGTGCTTGGCTGCAATTTTCTCGCTTCCTTCATGCGGTTATAAAAACAATCGAAAAAAGTACTGTTAATTATGAGTCGCATTTGTCTTCATTATTCTACGTCACTGCACGCGGTGTTTAAACCTGCATGGTCTGAATTCGATAACGACTAGGCGTGTTGTGTTTTCGATCCGTTGTTCCATACCTTACACGATCAGAGAGCAGTAATAATAGCCACTGCTTCTGAAGGCGAGTAGTTAAAACTAATTTTAGTTCTAATTCACTATGAATGTTACAGTTAAAAAAATTCACGTGATTTGGCTCTTATTCGAATATTAAATCCTTGTGCGCAAAATCCGGGGTGCGACTTCAATTACTATAGTTTCGCCCTGCATGTGCTTGGCCGTCACCTACAGTATAAAGACTAAGTTGCCAGCAAAGTAAACTTATTCCTAATCATTTCCTTATTTCCTTGCATAATTACTTGGAATATTTTTAGAAAATGCTCTTAGTGAGTTGCCAAAAACATTTATTTTAAAAAGTATGTCAGTATTCAACTGAGAATATCATGAAAAAGTTTCATATAATCTTGCTAGATCATTTATCTTATTTATTCGGAGTGAACAGCGATTATTAAAATTTATGGTAACTCATTTACTAGGAAAATGGAGTAGTTTGGGTTCTCTTAATACGTTGAGTGCGACACGACACGAGTCACCGGTGGGTTGCAGGGACTTTTTTTCCGGACAAATTCCGCAACTTAGTTTTTTTTTAATTTCGTTTGTCGACAAAAATTTATGGTGGCAGTACAACCTCATTAAAATTTAAAATGTTCGGAAAAAGGGAAAATTTAATTTTTGCACCGGAACCTACAAATTTACTAGTATACTTTGAATTATGGGCCTTTTTATCCGCGGATTTGGCCGTTTTTGGGCCATCTGGCAGCGCCGGTGGAGATCGTGCCGCCCTCATGAGCCCCAGTTGGTTCTTCACGGATGAAAACTTTTATATCTTTATTATGTAAAGAAATATTTATGCAGTGCGAGGAACCTAATCGCTTAGCTACACAGTAGAATTAAAAAATAGAAAATGAAATCGAAATTTCATTTACAATTTTCTTGTGGCTATTGAGCTAACAACTTTCGGTGTTCACAGCATTTATTCTGTAAAATTAGCATATATAGGAAAACACGATTTAAATTATTTATTACATCAATAAACAAAGACTGCAGCCTTTTTGGTCAAAAATAAAATATCAATACGCCGCTTTTGCATATATACTTAAATATAAAATTGTTCAGCCCACGTTCTGTTTATCAAGACCCTCCTGTGTGATGTTCCAAGCAGATTTCATTGATACCTAATCACTGCAATTCATTATTTGATGACTGACTTTCTTGATAACTGGAACTGCCTCCTATCTCCTTGGTTTATTCTAACGTTTTAAAGGTGCGGATTTCGGAGGGTATGTTTCTCAGGCTCATCCAGATACTTCCGGTAAAATGACAGAGAATTAAGGTGGGGCATCTGAAGACGGCAAGCTTATATAAGCAGCGTCCGCAGCCAACGTTGGCACTCGAACAGCAGCCTTCAAACTGCAACCTTGTCACCTGGAAAGCTCACGTGAGTAAACCATGATAGCGTAATAAAATACTCTATGCAAGCGTCAAAATAAGATAAAGTATTCTACATGATTGTATTCAGCGACATGAAATATCTATTTGGCGTTGTCCATAAATAAAACTTGCAATGATAAAAATTCTGCGGAGCCAAACACATTTAACTAGTAGTATGTAAGTAGTAAGTTGACCACAAAACTTGCTTCCTTTTTTAATGGAATGGAATTCTTTGGCTTCCATACATGGAATTCTTAAGCGTAAGTGGGCTGAATATAATCAGCACCATACCATAAAAAAGTTATTTTTGACTTACGAATGAAACTTACCAAAGTATTTCAATATCATTTCTTTTACAGAAAATCAACGCAGAGATGAAATCTGCATTTGCACTTCTCGTCGTTGTGGCCTTCGCGGCTGCCCATCCAAACCAGTAAGTTTATGCGTTTAAGTTGATATAAATGAGTAGTCTAACTTTTTGGGGACCATATAGCAGAATTTTGTTTCTTAGACTCTTTCAAAATAGCTCGTTTTCCAGATTACTGACATAATTGAACTGTTCGAATACTAAAATTCTATGCTCTGTCTCGAATTCATTCGCGGCGATGTACTTCATCTTGATGCAATCTCCGGAAATTTTGATATTCTTTATGTTAGCACATGTGCGTTTTACACAGGTGTGTATATGCTTTCTACAAGTGACTGCAACGTCACATAACTTACATACCGTGATTTATTATCAATTATTGATTAAATTAATCTAATTTTTTACATCATTCTTCGACATCTGGGGCTATACTTTCAAAACTCGCTAAGTTGACGCAAGTACTTACGCTCTATTTTCTTGTCTATGATTGATGGATTCTGCTTGAAATGACGTCAATGATTGGTTAATGAACTTACGATGAAAGTATGGCCCCTGATAATTTCAATTAATTTACTTTATTTTTTATTTCCAGCTCTGCAGACGAAAAGGCTTGCTTTGACGCTCTTGCCCCGTCTGGTGGTCCCGACCAAATTAAAGGTTACTTCGACACCTGCATCACTCAACAGTCCGGCCTTCAGGCCATCCTCGACTCCCTCAAAGGTAGAAAGCTATTATTATATTCTTAGGAATGCACTTACATTATTTAAATTATTGAATCATTTGAACCATATTTAATTAAGGTTGATAGGATAAAACAATTACTGAAAACTTCAAAATAACGTAAATACATTCATAAAAATGTAAATTGCCATTAGAAAGATTGGTCATTAATATTTTTTACAGAGAAAGAAATATCATAACTTGAAAATAAATTCAGCCTTTATAACCATCGGATATTGTCAAAGAGATTTACTTTTTTATGAAAAAAATTAATTGGTCGTCAAGAAATTTACTGGGAACCTGTCAATCTGCTGCAAGTTCTTAATCACTATCCTTCTTCCGGAGCTTTTCGAAGCTTTCATTTTACAAGTGAAATCAGGGTAGTGCGATAACAATTAATATAATTATGAACGCAATCTTAAATTATACTGATGCTACTTCACGCTCTGGCACGACGAAGCCTAAGATGCTTCATTTTCGTACATCGAATTTTGTTAAGCATTCAGTTTGAGTAATTGTATGTCATTACATTTCAGGCTGCAATTTCAGCTTTCATACAAATGATAACCCACCTATTTATTGGAGTCAACTAAGCGGTCACGATACGGGGCACAAAGACTCGTATGTATTATTTTAAACTTTGTAGTAACTCAAAATTTACATTAAAATATTTCCTCGCAGCCAAGCATCCCAATGGAACTGCTGGAGGAAGTACTGGTGGCTCAGGAGGTCCTGGTGGACAGAATGGTCCTGGTGGACAGCGTGGTCCGGGTGGACAGCGTGGTCCTGGTGGACAACATGGTCCTGGTGGACAACATGGTCCTGGTGGACAACATGGTCCTGGTGGACAACATGGTCCTCCTGGCCACGACCCTGTTTCTGTGCTCCGCAGTAACGGTTACAATAGCGAGGCTGAGACACTCCTCAAGTGTGTTGCTCAAGCGGAGGGTAATGTGAGTTATGCTCAACCTTTCGAGTGTACAAATATTGGAATATAAGTTAAAAGAAGAAGAACTGCATGAAAAAAATATGTTGCCACAAACTGATGAAGGAAAGCATGTGAACTTTATGCAATCCTAGCTCATTGGCACGCCATGACAATTCCTATCGCGTCAGGATATTAAATTGGTAAGTTTTCCTCTATTTCTTCTTTAATCGTACCTCAGTAGGCATCGTAAACGGAAGCTAGATTGAGATGTAAAATTTGATAGAAATTTTAATTTTATATTTTTTAATCTCACTTTCCCTGCAAAATAAATTATGATGCTTCAATTTTCAGAATTTTAGTTGAATTGATGAGTAACGAGGATATATTTTCATTTCATTTGTCTTTTTTTAGTTCATATTGCCTGAGCTTGAGAATAATCGCGGTGGTAGTGTATAATATTTGATAATAGAGCTAGAGGTGTTATCTATCCCGAATAACGCAAGGTTAACCTGTTTGTTTGTTCATGGTTATTGTTTTAACGACTGAAGAACTTTCCTACATTTTCATGCCAGCTTGACGCTTCTGGAAACTTCAACATCCAAGCCTTCAAAGACAAGCTCATCGCCAGCGCCACCACCGCCGGCAAGCAGACGCAAGTACAGCTCGGTCTCGACAACTGCCCCACGGACTCCCTCACCGCCTATGACGTGAGCCAACTATGATGCGTCTCCTAATTTATAACCAATGATACTGTGCAATTGTGGTGCATTAATGTAGTCATTCAATTTTTCAGCTGATCATTGAACCATTCACCAATACATGATCGTTGTTTTTCTTGTACAGGTTATGAAATACATTCATTGCGTGGTTAGCTACTGTGCCACCGGTGCCGCTCCTACCATCCCATAGGCGCGCCACCCATCGGCCGCTACCCATCACCGGTCACGCACGCATTGTCAAGTTCAACGTCATTAACTCGCCTGGTCGCACTGATGCAAATTTAACTGCACCATTCAAATTGGCAATTTCAAATATCGTTTTTAATTAAGCACTTTCGGTCTTGTTTTCGATTCTGTCATTATATTTTCTGAATAAACTTTTTTCTTCACAGACGTTGTGTTTTGAAAATTCACCTTTGGTATTCCCTGATAGAATGAGCCATCGTGGATGAGGTTGAAATAATGGTGAATATTGGTTTAGGATTAAAATCAATGTAATTTTTACAACATCGAGTTGACGTTGCAGTACGAACCTGCAATAATTGTGCTTTAGTGACGTTGTTATAGTACTAAAATTGGTAAACCAAATTTATTCATGAGTTTATACTGAAAATTGAATCGACGTCTCTAAATAAGCGTGTAATTTATGTTGATGTGCTAGCTTGAATAAAATTTCAACCAATTGCGTTAATAACGAGTCGACGTCCTTCCAAGAAGTCCTTCTCCACAGGACTCATTCATCCACTTCACTCCTAGTCTCGACTGAAATAATCTCAAACGTCACCCGGAATGGAACCCTGAAATTGGAGCGCTCAATTGGGAGGAAAAGGATCATATTTGCGCATCATTTAGCATTTCAGGGATGGCATTCTGAAAAATTAAAAACACAATTACATCAAATGATCTACATTAAATTAGTCGTTGAAACGTTGATTATACACTATCTAAAAATATTAGAAAAACTATACTTGGTCGTGATTGTTGAGCATGTTTTTATGAGAGCATTTAAACCATTTAGTATCAATTCCAGCAAAGTTGGAGTAGAAGATTAGGCCACGTCAGGCCGGGCGCCGCTTGTAGACATCGCAGAATATTAAGAGTATAGGATCACCACTATGCATATCCTTTATAGCGCGGGATATCAACAGAGCAAAACAAATTTGCTTCAAAGCTGATTCAATCTCTATATAATTTGCTTGCAGCCACATTTCTTTAAAGCAGTGGTTCTTAAACTTTTTCAGGCTGGCGCCCCCCTGGGCTCCTCCCCCCCCCCGGTGACAGACACATATAAAAACATACGCCTCTTTCTTGATATTTAGTATGCTGCAATTTTGAAAGAACAAGGTCAAACACAAATCTTTCCAGAGGCCCCCCCAGATCCATCCACCGCCCCCAGGGGGGCGATATCGCCCGCTTTGGGAACCACTGCTTTAAAGCAACAAACTGGCAGAATTAAATGACAGCCATGAAATAAATGCGTATATGTACAAAACAATGAATAATAGCGTTTGAAGTTATTGTAACTGGTGCTGGTACCTTAGAAAATGATAAAAAAAATCAAACGAAAACCATTCATGACGAAAGAAACGATTATTCATTCAAAATTGTTCTAAAATCCAGATAAGGAATCACATGAAGTTGTCAGATGAAGATTTTATGGAAATAATTATAATAGAAATTATGATGGCTGGTACGACACTATGCTATGCTGTTCCCACCACTTTTATCGTTTAACAAGTGCAAAAATGGCAGATTGTCTAGAATTTTCGACGACATACAAGTATATGGCTTCTTTCACTCACACGCGTTGTGTTCTAGCCTTCTAGGACATAACTAAAGATATATGAGACGGCAACATGACTGTACATTTTCTTATAGACCTCACGAAGAGTTCAGCTTATGGAATAACTGTGGGAACAGCTTGATCGAGTTGTGAGTATATTAGACAATACTCGGAGAGATAATTTGCGCACCAACATGTTCTAGAACCGCGTCTGTGTATTTGACGGAGTATAGGCAATAAGAATGAATATCTTAATTCAGTTAGAGAGCTAACTCTTATAAAATGAGTTCCTACAACTAATTTTTCGTTGTACTGTCTCCTGTAGAGTAAGAAAGGCAAAACATATGCGATATTATTAACACGTTTTTCTTAGCTTAGCTTCGCGTTTGTTTGTTTGTTTGTTTATTTGTTTGTTTTTAACACGTTTTTCTTAGCTTAGCTTCGCGTTTGTTTGTTTGTTTGTTTATTTGTTTGTTTGTTTGTTTGTTTGTTTGTTTGTTTGTTTGTTGTTAACATTGACAACGAAAATTAGCCCACTTCTGATTGCTCTAGAGATCTGAAATTCGGCATGCAGGCTATTTTCGCCAAACAATTTCAGATACAATCATAAAAACTTGCAATTAGAGACCTAAATTAGCTCAATCGAGTAAAGTATATATATATATAGTATGACGTGCGGGCGCTCACGTTATAGACGAGCAGGCGCTGACGCTGCGTATCATCGATACGTACGTCAAGTCATACTTAATCAAGTCTTAATCGTTTTTCTTGTGGACTAAAAAGTAGAAAATAAAATACTTAAAAAAAATTTTTTAAAAAACCACGTTTTTCTTGTGGACTAAAAAGTAGAAAATAAATTATGGTTCGCCCCAAAAA